TAAGGAAATTAATAAAATTTCGAATAAGAAGTCACAGCTTCAGAATAAAGCACAAGGGCAAAATACTTTACAGTAATGTTTTGGGATAACTGATGGTAAAAGAGAGCATGAATTGGGGAGTGAAATCTAGTCAAGTTCAATAATCTTGTGAGTAACTTTGGGGGAAGGGTTAGAGGCTTGCTTCCTGCATTTTCAGGTACAAAACTTGAAGTAATTACATAAGACATTTGACAGAATCATGATGTTTCAGGAGTACCAATATGCTGCCATGAGGTCCAACGACATAAATATATCAATAGTGGTTTAAAATGTTACATAATCACTTAAAAATTTAAAGTTATACAATTACAAGATTTGATTCAACCTGAACATTCAGATACCCCACAAGATAAATGGGAACAATGTGTGATGTTACCAACTGAAAGGAAAATTTAAAAACAGAGCATTGTATTTGATTTGTATCATCAGTTGTTCTAAGCAACTGGTCCATGCACTGAACAATGATAAATCACAATCATATATTAAGAAGATTCCAGGGAAGGCCATCAGAATGCTCAGAATGTAGACAGTACTTGGAGCTACAGTGAAGCATTTTCCAGGACATTGAAAACAAAATTGCTCTTTGAGGACTAAACTAATAAACTATTTGTCCCTGTGGGATTAGGCAGCTATAGGCTTAAACTGACACTGTATCTGTACAGGTGTGACTATATACTTGTTACATGTACCTCAGGGAGGAAGAATGGCCTAGACAGTAATAAAGGAAGAAGAAATATAAGTAACAAAGTATTCCCTTTCTGAAAAGGTTGAGCAAATAGACATGGGCAGAACAGAATAATGCACACACAAATTCAGACCCATGTAAGTTATACTTTTCATTGTAAATCAGTAAACTGACATTCTAATTTATACATCCAAAGCTTATATTTAGACAGCATGAGTCTTCCAGATCTGACAGTTAAGGGTTGTGATGTCAGATGCCATAATCTTTCCTTGACACAGGTTCTTTGTCATGGGAGAACACAAGGATGCCAACAATGTTTAGTTGGAAAGAGAGAAGCTAGAGGTGAGAGCTGATGTTCATCTTCAAAGATCTAGTTTTTCTTGCATGAACAGAGCTAGACTTTTAATTGATGGGAGTACAAAGACTGATGAGTAGAAAGCCCAAAAAGCAAGATTTCCTCTGGCTAAATAAAAGAAGGAACACGCTAATCATCTGAGCTTTCTTCTAACAGTGAAAAGCTGTATCTTTGTCAGAATTCTTTTTGTTTTAGAATTCTTTGATCACAAGCAAGAGAACAAGTAAGGATAGCTATAGCAAATAATAAAAATTAAAACATAGGAGGTGGCAATGGATTTGAAAAAAAGGCTGAAGTGTTTGGATATAGAAGAGGCAAACAACAAGGCAGTTGTAGTGACAGAGAGCAAGAAATCAAAGGATTGCCTCTGGGCGTACTACTGTATCATGATAAATCACCTAATGTTGACTTTGTCCCTAGAATCACTGAGAAATAACCTAGGATGGACAAGTGGCTGAGGTGTCCTTTCTTCCCCCTGCTTCCCGTATCAGCACAGGGTAGGGAACTATCAATGGGGAGGAACTTTGTTGATGGCCCCATCCTAGTTTCCTGCAAAGGAAAGAAACTATTTTACCAGAGGAAATTTGAGAGAATGAAAAAAAAAAAAATACTACAACTTCCTAAAGCCTCATCTTTGCAAATGCAGAAGGGGAGGCCACCTATTTGTCAGGAAAGGATTTCCGTCCTGGAAGGAAGTTGGAAAAGGCAATTTGGAAAGCACTTTGTTATTCTTTATTCTCATTACTGATACATCCGGTCATTAGGAAATGTCCAATAAGGAAGCCCTGGGAAGCGTCCAATGTGGCTCCTGAGAAAGTGAGCAGGGTGGCTCAGTGGATTAATCAGAAAATAAAAACAAGGAGTTAATGGCATTGGTTACCTCAAACTTAATAAATGTATATTAGAGACCGCTCTCTTCCTTCTGCTCCCTTGATGGTCACAGATAAATGGATGCAAGGAGATGCAATCAAAGTTAGGAAATGAAGAAGACATGTAGACTTGCTCGCCAGACCCGCGGGTGGGGCAGGATGCTAATCAGAGGGTTTAAAGTTTTGACAGTTTCTAGGCATATTCCCAGAAGAACTGAAAGCATCATACCACAGTGATATATGTGCACCTATGTTTATAGCAGCACAATTTGTAATCACCAGATCTTGGAAACAAGCCAAGTGTCCATCAACTGAGGAATGGATAAAAAAGTTGTGGTATTTCTATACAATGGAGTATTATTCAGCTATAAAGAAGGATCACATTGAGATATTTATCAATAAATGGGCGCAGCTTGAGACCATACTCAAAAGTGAAATAAATCAATCTCGCATGTGTGAATACCGAATAGTTTCCCTAATATAAGTAATGATTCAAATATATAAAAATATGTGGTAATCATGATTCCCCATTAGGTGGCCTTGGAGCCTTATAAAGTTTTCACTCATTAATTAGAAAGGCTTTATTCTGGGCTTCTTGATTTGAAAATATTTGAAGCTAGAGTATATGAAGTTTTATCCAAATATTTCAAGGAAAAAGACACTATGGTAACTACTATTAAGTCAGGTTATATGGTGGTGAAGTACTAGGTTGTTGAAACAGTCATGCTGGGACCTCTATTGTTATATTGTTATGTCCTGTTTTATCTCAATCTCCCCCTTATTGTTTTAAAAAAATTATTTAGTCATTTCTTATGTTTGTCTTAATTAAAGAAAAAACTCAAAAAATTAGGATATATAAATAGTAACTCTTTTTGATTTCCTATTAACTTGTTTTGAAGTCCTGTAGTACTCCCACAATCTTGTTTTGACTGATTAGACTCTGTTCCATTCTATATGGTAGTATCAAGTTTGAAGACATAGGCAACTACTTTGAAGACAATAAGATTCACTAAGATACCCATTCTGGTTTGACTATTGTCTTCTTCGGAAGTCCTGTAATGTTTACAATGCCTAAGTTTTATTGGTCTTGTTCTCTACTGTTTTGTCCAACTTTATAATATCTAATGAGATAGACAATTCTTTTTAAGGAAACAAGGGACAACGTTGATAACCATTGTTGATAAACTTGTACTCTGTTCTACACCATGTGCTATGTCTATCCTTGGTATTGACTGACAGCTTTGTTTTGCCATATTTGACTGTATTCTCCCCCCCCCCAAAAAAAAGTAATAAGCACTAAGGAGTAATGAAATCCAAAGTGTGTGAATTTTGTTGTAAAAAAGAGAGGGAAAAAAAAAAGAAAAAGAGCTCTAACGGATATAACAGCAAGTGTGTTTAGGGGTGTTAAATAGCTGACTGTATCAATGTTTTTGGATCATTGAACACAGCTGTTTGCAGTCTACCTGTTTGAATGTCCACCTTGTATTCTTTGATACTGTGATTTGAGGAACTATTTTCAAGATGATAATATGTAATATACTAACAGGTGATTTCTTACTGTTATGTTTTTTTTTTGTTTGTTTGTTTTGTTGTTTTTTGTAGTTCTGTATTACGTGTACCCTTACACCGCTTTGGTTTGTTTTGTGTTTTTCTCTTTTTCCTCTTAAATAAAAAAAAAATAAAGTTTTGACAGTGCTCTTAATAGTAGGGAACCTGCCAGCCTTAATGGTTAAACTAGTGGGGTCATCTACTAGGACCTAAAATTCTGGATTTCATATCTGTGAAACAAAGCAACTGATGAAGGAAACAAAAGAAATCATTGACCACTAGTGACCTCTGGTGGAAACACACTTTAGGGACCTTTGATTTTTTTTTTCCCCCATATTAGGAAAATAAAAACCAGTGGCATACTCGCCAGTTTATTTCCAGAGGAATGAAGGAAGGGGCTGCTAGAAACAGCATGGAAATCTTACTCAGAAAGCAGAGACCGATCAGGAACACTTTGTGTTCAGTTGTGTTGGTCAGACCATATTGATTATCGTGCTGGAAGAAATGTGGACATGTGATTGCTGTCGAAGACACTACTTGAGAAAAGGATGGTTGGGCAATGACTTCATGGTCAGTGGGGAAACTTGGCATGTTCATGGCAGTCAGCAGGAGAACACGCTGGCAGGCTTAAAGATCAAGCTGCACTGGCTGCCAGCACGCTTTTAAAACACCCCTTTATTATAACATGGAAGAGAGTTGTTAGATCTAAAATACAGACACATGTGCCAATTCAGTACTTTATGGCTTGAGTTCTAATACTCTTCTTCCAAGTGGTTGTCTGTGCCAAGTTGACAAAGACTATTGAGTTGTGAGGATGAGACAGGAAGCCTAGGCTCTGCAACAAAACCAGTCTCATAGAGGCCTGAGCACGACCAATGTCAACATCAAGCCACATTGAGCACTCCGTATCCCTCCCCTTTGCAACCTGACAGATCACACCAGGGATTCATAATAGGGGCACTGAATTAAGTGGGGACTGGTGGGTAGAAAACAGAAAAGAGGAAAGATTTAAAGGGGGGGGGAGAACGCACAAGCATTACCACGCCTTGGGCAGCTGTCGCTTCCTGCAGCAGGTGATTGCTGTCCTGGCCCCTCATATCACCTGTGTGGCAGGAGGTGTCACACTGCCATCTTTCATTATTCAGCCTCCACCATGTACCCTGCCTCGTTTGCAGATGCTGTTGTGCAGCTTGGCAAGTCTGCTCTATTTCAAATTTGCTACCTATCCTCTCCATGTCTTTCAAGGATGCAAAAATAGACCCTAGATAATCCACTTGTGAGAACTGCACTCTGAAATTCCAGAGTTCTAGTCTCTGTGAGTGGACATAAGGTGGCCTTACTGCTCCCTAAGCTAAAGACATTCCTGGTGTTATTTCTTGGTCACCAAGTAAACTACAGCACCTCTTTCTCTTGCCAAGATACTTCTTTTCTCCGGGAAATACACAATCCTGTGGCTATAGCCTAGGTCACTGCAGGGATTTAGTGTATAAAGCAGTTTACTTACTGATGATGAGCTAATTATTTTAATCTGCTCCAAAGCTTCTGTTAGGCTGTCTTCAATCTCGGAGTCATCTAAGGAAAAGAGGTCACCAGCTCGTGAAAGATCTTTTTGTCCCAAAACCAGTCTAAACAGCTGATGCATGTCGAGGAGTTTTATCAGTTGATTTTTTGTAGACTCAAGGCCATATGTTCAGTTTTCTGAGGTTAGTAAGAGAAAAACTTGCAGTAGAAGGTACATTTCATAGTCCATGAAAGGTCACTTTTCTCCAGACTTTGATGTCTTCTGTGGCACTTCTGTAAGGGAAATAAATGACACAATATAGCCTCTGGCAGAACAGCATGAGCTTAGAGTGCTACGCTGGTGCCTGGAAGACAGAGAAGGAGAAGCGGGGGTCAGACAGACACAGAGAGACAGAGACAGAGACAGAGCAAGACAGAATGAGGCAGAGACAGAGAAACTTGGAAATGCACAGGGTAACAGATCCTGACTTGATAGTCTTCAGATGACCTCTTTCTTTAGTTTGAACTTTAAAGAGCAGAACAAAAACTATATTTATTTGCTCCTGCTTTTTTCCTATGTCTTTCTACATTCCATATAAAAGGAAACAAGTACACAGGCAATAAACATGTACAATAAGTGCCAGATATTTCCCAAATAGATAACCATGGAAATCAAACAGAAAGGGAGATTGAGAGAGAACAGGAAATATCCTTTAGACTCAAATGCCTGGGGGCTTTTCTCAGATCTTTGACATGGAAACCAATTTCTACCCTCTTGGTGGGATTTCCTGGCTATACTGGCAATAAAAGGCCTCTTTACCTTTTGTGCAGATGGTGAGCTAAAAACTTAGCCTATTCCTATGTGTTTTCTAATCCAAAAACAATGAAATAAAGAACTCTACCTAGATATATGGGGTTAGTTGACTCTGTAATGAGCATTAACATGAACTTCAACTTGAACACTGACATTAGACATGATAGCACTGCAGTGTAGGCTAAAAAAGAAGTGTTTTCTTAAAAAAAAAAAAGTGTAATTCTCCCTATATTCCTCTAGTTGTAATAATGAAGTCCTATTGCGCCTCTCATTTAACTAACAGTCCACAGAGACTATACAATGACACAAATTACATGCATGATTATTATCATTAGACCCCTTTTGGATCTAATAAAATGACAGACCAGTCTGTATTAATACAGATTTGAATTATCATTTAAAGGAAGCCAGGGAGATTTGATGAATTCCCCAAGAATCCACTGTACCTGTGGCAGGGCTTGTCCCCTGATTTCAAACCAGTGGGCTTCCCCCATTCTACAGTGGAGTGGAATCAATTCATACACACAGATAACTTACACATGCAGCCACATGTCAGATAGTGAGAGCTCAGAGGAGCGGTGGTTAACATTTTAGAGCTTCAATGACAATGAACAGCTGCCTGCAACTTGCACACCATAGATTTGCCACCACTGGCCTAAAATGAGTTATTTAATAAAGCTACAAAATGCTCAGAACTTCTTCCAATATGAGAGTGGAAAGTGAGAGATAAGTCAGTGGTTCCTTCAGTAATTTCAAACCTTCCCTCTAAGGTTGCTGTGTGTGTGGGTGCTGAACACAATTTTAAAGTTTCAAGATACATACTCTCTATACAATGTGGTCTCTAGACATGAACTAACTCATTAATGAGACACTGAACTAGATGAGCTATCACAGTATTTACATGATGCAATGCATGGGCAATATTTGAGTTTTCAGGCTGGGCGTGGTGGTTCGGCCCTGTAATTCCAGGAGGCAGGAGGATAACTGTAAGTTTAAGGCCAGCCTGGACTACATAGTGAGATCTCACCTCAAAAAAAATCCTCAAAATATTAGAATTTTCAAGATGTTATTGTTTATATGTAATTCTTACACTATCTATTAGCTTTAGAAAACAATACCCACTACTTACACATCTTTGTATGCCAGGCTTAGATGTTTTTTTGGTTAATGTTGCCACACTTAATATTCATAAAGTTGTTATGAGCATCTAGAGACATATCATGTGCCATTTTTTAAAACGAGAAACGTGAAACATTTAAACACAGTAGCACACCCCAGTCCTGCACACAGTAAACTGAAGAGCTGGGATTTGCACCTAGAGATTCCAGTGCTGGGCTCCAAGTTTATAAGCAACAGTAACAGGAATGAAGGCACTGGTGGGGCCATAAAGTAAGAAAAAGATCATCTTTTCTGCACAGCACCCTTGTGCATCTGGAATCCAAACAACCAGAGAGCAGGAGAGTCACAAAAAGAGAAGATCAGGAAGGAAGAAGAGAACTGGGCAGAGGAAGAGCAGAGTGAGGGTGCAAAGAAATCTGCACTCTTGCAAACATGGAAAAATTATAATATCTACCCCAAAATTCAGGCAGTGTTTTCTTGAATCTTCCTTTTAACACATTCTTTTTCTAGTTTTAGATAGTTATGGAGATAACCTCAATGAAGTAATGTCCATGAAAATAGCAGACTGGGTAGAAATAAGTTTGAAACTTATAAGGCAGATTCAGGTGCATCAGACACATGCAAGCAGGTGCTCGATGTGAAGCAGGAATTTGTGCATGTGCAGAGATGCACAGAGGCTTTTCACTTGGTGTGGAGCCATATCCCTGCTGGCAATTGCCGTTGATACGCTTGAGTGTCCATAATGTGCAAAATGTTTCTTGGGGCCCAAGCTCTACAGGAAAACTTTCTCAGACCCTGGAGTTGGGTGAGGAGACACGAAACTTACATTAAGCATGCTGCAAATGGAATGATTGACAGAAAGTCTCCTGGATACTTCAAAAAGAAGTTTGGGAAACAGGACAAAGCAGGGCTTTGTGGAGGAAAGGGCCTTTGAGTAACATCACTTACAATGCGTAAGACTTTTACAAATAGTATTTAGTGTGTACGTGCTGAATATAGGTGAGGCATTGGTTTGGGAAGGAGATTGAAGGCTCAGCTTGGCCATTCAGAGATTGTGGTGTGGAGGACCATCTGGATGACTCTCTTGGAAAGGGGAGCAATTATCTCCATTTTGGCTAAACCTGGACCTGTATTCATGTATTGATATGTACAGAGCTGACCAGGACTTTTTCTTTTTCCCTCAATTGGTTTTAAGCAATGCATATCAGTCTAGTAGAGGCACTAATGTATAGTCTTTAAAGCAGGGTGACAGGTCAGTGTTGACCTGCTCCATAGCTCCCCAAAGTCATGTATGAGCCAGGCCAGAGGGAAGGTCATGCTCCATACTGTTGGCTGGGATTGAGCCAAAAATCAGGCTCAGAGATATAGCTCAGTGGCACAAGTGCATACTTGACAAGCATGAGGTTGTGAGTTTGATCCTTGGTACCAAAAAAAAAAAAAAAAAAAAAAAATTATGCATCAGAGTTGATGCACTAACTCCAAAAATTAGATACTGCCTCGAACTGTGTATGCAGATTACTCTTTCTGCATCTTTCTCTGCATATTGCAGAGGTGATCTCATACCTGCAACCTAGTACAGATCAGGGCACACACATACTTCCCACCAAGACTACAGTCTTCATCCGGAGCCTCTCTCCTCTTATTTAATGAAACTTGCATTCAGCCCGGGGTCATGGCCTTTGTTTCCGTTAGCCATCATCCTAGCTGGATTTAGGACCCCCTTGGCTTCTCACAACCACAAATGTCTTAGTGTCTTTATTCTCACCATGCATTGCCTGGTAGCGGTAGATTGGAATTAACTTGCTAGGGTTCCACTAATTTTGCCACGGGATTACAAGTATAAACTTCCCAGACTGAGCCAAGGACTGGAAAGGACTCTCTTTATGATGAAACTTTTTGGTTCTTGCTTTTCCTTTCCCTGAGTCTGGGTTGTCTCATCTGCAAGATGAGAGTAATGCTTTCCTCATCTATTTCACTAGCATGTTTTGAAGATCAAAGTTGATAAAGCGTGAAAAGAATCTTTGTAAAATAATGACACTTGAGGCTCAGATAATGAAGTGAAGGCCTCAGAATCAGACTCAAAAAGGAGGTTTTTCTGTGACTTTCTTCTGTCCTTCTGTCCCCCTAGCTCCTTTCTTTTCACCAAGGCAAGCCACAGAGAGTAGAATTTCTCTTGTCCAACACAGATTATAGAAATTAGAACTTCTCTGTTCCTCCAAAGCAAGCCATAAAGACTAAAAATACTGATTTTCCCCTCTTTCTGTCTTGGAGCATTCTACAAAGAAATTTTCCAATCTGTTTGATAGTAGATTATAAGATTCCAATTCTAGAAGGGGGCCTGCCCCATATCCAGGAGAAAAAATGCTTCCCAAAGAAGCTGAAAAAAAAAAAAAAAACAAAAAACCCTGAATGGAGGATAGATTTTACTGGGTTTCCCCTTTCAGTTCACTAACATTAGATTGTTCCCTTTTTGTCCAATCCCCAGTTTTACATGACTGTCCATGCTTCACTGAAACTAAATTTAAAAGTGGGTGGCTCACATTGAGCCTTTGGATCATCACTTTGAAGGCTCCTATGCCACATTAAAACTATGAGCAAATACATGTGTTACACTTTTCCTTGATTAACCATATTTTTGGTTTAAGGGTACTGGCTGTGACTCTTAGGAAGGCAAGAAAGACCTCCCCCCTGCCTTTGCCTCTATCTACATCACCTGGTGTTTAGTAAGTGTTGGCCAGATGTCAGGTACTACTTTGAGTGCTTCTCACGTATTGAGTTGCTTAGTTACAAGGACAATTCAGTGCAATGAAAATCTAATGTTCAGACAGGAACGGAACCAGTAACCCAGACACCCCAAGAATATGCTGCAGAGTTACAGCTGAAACCGGTTGGTCTCTCTGGAGAAAGGCCTCTTCGGAAGTTGTACAGTCATAGACACAACCACGTGTGAGAAGTGCTGCTGAGCTGCCCTGCTGAACTGCCTCTTCCCATCGGCCTCACTCTGGGAGCACCCCACACGCTGCGCTCTGCCACCCTTTCTGAGTCAAGAAGAGTTGCAAGTCACCTTATTTATTTTTCAGCAACCCTGGTCATGTTTTGCTCAGATGTCTGGCTTCTCCTGCTGGTCTTCTTTTGCAACAGCAGAGCTAGCCTAAGCCAGGTCAAATTCTACCTCATATTTTGAGAAACTCCTTACATTTACCCATGGCATAGGACTGTGGCCCACGTGCACGTGTGTAACACGTACAGACTGTATACACACATGTGCACTGGTGTTAGCAAGCATGCACATACATGTATATGTGCATGTTTAAAGACTTCCTGTACATCAAACTCTTTGTAAGACATTTTCTTCTCTTAGTTCTCCCATCAACCTTGCAGGAAGATACAATTCCTTGAAGAGGAAATGGGACCCAGGCGATTAAATATCACGGCCAGGCGTGTACTGAACCAAGATTCATGCCCCGCTTTATACTGTACTTTTTGTATCACACACACACACACACACACACACACACACACACACACACGCAACCGAATATGAAATTTCTTTTTGCTCTGCATCTTTAAGTTTTTTTCCTTTGCAATGTCTTTCCCTCATCATTTCAGTCGTCTTAATCTGAGGCTATTTTCCTTTGGTTTGCTTTCAATCAGGTATGGATCCACAAGTCGGCCTTCCCCCAGGAAGAAGCATACGCAACAACAAGAGGGACGGTTCTGCGGCCGGCGTGGCCCGGGTCGGGAGTCGCCGTGTCCCGCGGACTCGGTTTACCTGCGCGCTCCTCCTCTCCGGCGCACTCGCTGCTACTCAGCCACGGGTTTGGGGACTGGGCGGGAGATCCGGCGGGACTCGGGGCGCAGCGCGGGAGGGAGGAAGCGAGCAGGGAGCGGACCGCGCTCCGCACAGTGCACCCCAAGCTGCTCCCGCGCTGCGGCCCGAGAGGAGGAATTCAAGGAATGCAGCCCGCTGCCACCCGGCCTGGAGCGGGGTCAGGTGACGGCCGCGCCTCTCCCGGGGAGCTACCTCCAGGGGAACCGGGCTCCCGGGGCCAGCCGGACACAAAGCCTGTTGCGGTGCAGGAGAGTTGTTTTCAACAGAAGACAACACTGCCTGTGTTCGTGAAAATCTATACGGGGGGCGGGGAGGAGGGATTGGAAGCAGTTTGAGCAGGACCAGCAGGTCAATGCAAGAACTTTGGGGAGCCGGCCGGGAGCGGGGGGTAGGGTGGGGGTGGGTAGAGAGTGAGGCGGATTGAGCTACTGCCCTCCCAGATGTCACACACACGTTTGCAACGCAGCACAACAGCCCAGGGCGTGACAGCTCCTGGAGAAACTACCCCCTTAACTCTGCCTGGGCTTTAAAGTCGGTGAAAGTTCGAGGGGATAGGAAACTGCTAGTAAAGGGGGCACATTCACTACACACACACACACACACACACACACACACACACACACACTATGGACACGTCAAAGAAGGAAAAAAAAAAACCACCATTGAAATCCTCCCATATCATTTAAACTGTTAAGTGTTTAAAAACAAACATTTTGAGCTGTAGTCTTCTCTCCCTTTAATTTGTTTGTTCCCCTAGTAAGTCTGTTAACTGTCAAATCATCTGTCTCCTGGCAAGGCATTGAGGCAGCTGTCCTGCAGAAAAACCCATCTTCATTCAGGACCACAGGGTGTGCGCCCTGGCCCCCAGGAATGTTGCCCGCAAAGATGAGGGCGGGGTGGCCTCCAATGAACCAAGCTGGATGGGCCAGGAGAACAAACCAATAAATCTTCCTAGGCACTTGGCTATCCAGCGTATTGTACACCATCCTCATGTAGAGAACTGTTCACAGGAAGAGTTTCTGGGAGAGAATTCGGTGCTTCTACGAACATATATTCTTTCTTAGTAACTTTCTGATTTATAAAGTACTTCTAAAGTCTCTTCTTTTAATGGAATAGACTACATATCGTTAGCCTTCCCTTTTCTTTATCTTCTAGTCATTTTACTGCTTTTTAATCCCTAGATTGTACCCACTGTTCTTACCTACTTTAAAGCATGTAGGGTCCAGAATTGGACCCTCCCTGGGACTCCAGTAAGAACAGCAGTCTGGCAAGAGTGGGAGACCCTGGAGACAGCTGTGTTCTAGTCTCAGCTGTGCATTCCCTGCAGTGTAAACCTGGGCAGACCTTTCTGAGTTTCAGGTTCCTCATTTGCACCTGAGAATTGTGATCTGGGTTGCAGACAGGTTTAAGGAGATTATATTAAACATTTAACACAGCTTGGTATACAGTAACTATAAAACAAGTGACATCCGCTATATATATTTTTAATAGCATTTTTATTCTTATAGGTCTTTTGTTCTGTTAGACAGATCCTATGCCACACCTTTAAAAAGATAATAACCATGCTCCTGGAGTGGTTCACAGTATAAAAATACCTTTTCCATTTGGATCTTTTTTTATATATTACTTGTTCTTTCTCTCATTTGGGTTGAGGGAAAGTACTACATACTGAACCCAGGGCAGGGCTTTCACACCAAGCTACATCCCCAACTGTTTAATCTTTTTTTTTCTTTTGAAACAGGGTCACAGTTAGTTGCTAAATTGCCCGTGCTGGACCCAGACTTGGAGGTTTCCTGTCTCAGACTCCCAGAGCACTGAGATTTGAGGAATGAGCCACCATGCCTGGCCTCTTAGTATTAAATCTAGGTGTAGTTCATTGTTATTTGTCAAATTTACTGCCTTATATGTGTGTCTCTTACTGTTGTGGGCAACATTTTCTTACTTCTTGGAGAGAGTGAAACTCACTGTGATCCTACCCCCACCAATAACAGAGATTCCCCCCTACCCCACCCAGAAATGTACTAGCACACAGTACATCTCCAACTGTATGTGATGGCATAATCCAAATACCTGAATTTGCCTCCGAAGCACAGTATTTCCTCCTGCATTTATTAGTGAAAAGGGAGTGCCCTTCAGGCACTTTGTTTCTTTCTTTATGACTTTTAAAGGTGACCTCTACTCAGTGTGCTCTAATAAATACACTAGCTTCTTGTGCATCAGCAGATTCTGCTGTATACCATATACACGAAATGAGGACTTAATTCCTCTACCATTGGGATAGTGCCTGTAGAAAAAGTAAGGATTTTGGAGGAGGGCTTGATAAACATAATCTACTCAGGAAGTCAATTTATTTCAAGGAATTTTTCTAGCTTCCAACTCAGTTTAGGACTTGCCCCATTTCCTCACTTCAGAAAATTTTGAAATTTATTTACACTCTGTTTTAGACAAGATCCTTCTACATCAAAACACTTTCATTTTACTCACTTTAAATTAAAATGCCCACTAACCAACTTAGACCCATTTGCGTTCTGGAAACTTTCAGTAACGATCTCAGATTTTCCCTTGAAAGGGAAAAATTAAAGATTCTTTTGAAGGAACATATTTTTTCACACAGTGTGAAAAGGCTGCTGGCATTCCCATGGGAACTGGCCACAGGGTTGTCAGCCCCCCCCCCCAGATGCCATTGTTTGTTGGAGGTCTCTCTGTTTCCTCCTCGATGGCCTGTTGCTGAACTTAACAGCTACTGAAAGCTGATGATGCTGGGTTTTTCCAAAGGATGCTAAAGGACTCAGCCTCAGTCTTTTTGCCAGAACTCAAGAACTTTGTAGCAGTCTCATTATCATAAGCATCTACAAAAAGTAATTTTGGCCGTCTATCTGGGCTACAGTTAAAATCATAAAACTTTAGCTAAATATTGGAACACAATCAGCAAACATTTTTCTTCGTGGGGAATAAGGGAAAACTTGAGTCTAATAAACTTTCTGAAACTGTGAATTTTGTGGTCTCTCATAATAATTTCATAGCGTGTCCATTTTCACCTGTAAATTTTGACTCGGCAAGTTATGTTTTCTCTGGAATGATATAAACCTTTCTTTTAAAAAAATCTTAACATAAATTCTATGGGTTTATTTTTCTATAAAACATAGCTAAACTTTCAAACTATACTTAAATGTCATCTATCACAACTATATGACCAATTCAAATAAACTCCTAAGAATTTTATTAGTTTTTAAATTAAAAACTATATAAATGCCATTGAACCCAATGACAGACTGCTATGCCAAATTAACAGTGGTTTAATTCAGTTATGATCTATGAGATGTGTGCAGTACCAAAGGGCACAAAATAACAACAATAAAGAGTCACGGTGACTCTGCCCAATTCACTGACTGTAATGATGCCATTTAACTTCCTAAAATTAGTATATACACTCATAAGCAAGGCCAGTTTCTTTACCCATAGCAAAATCTTTCTTGAGGTAAACAAAATAGGATGAAAATGAAGCTAGACTATTATGGAGTAAAACAAAAATGTGCATTGTATGAATCTAGAAGCTCAGCTTTCTGCTTCTAAGGCCCACAGACATGTTTTAATCACCCACAGAGAAATAGCTTCTTTAATAACTGAAATGCATGCATATGTGGCTAGACACAGTTCCCAAACGTGCTCTATCTGCATAATCAGCCAGCCCTTCAAAGTTCCTGACCCATTCCTGAGCCCCAGTCCCTGCCTCCCAGCAGCTTCTGACATTTACTATAATTAGCTTTTGTTTTGCCAAACAAAAAACAGAAAAAAGACAACCATACCTCTTAACACAGCACACCTTGGCCATCATTGGAAGCAGAAAACAAAATGCTTGATCTTTAAAGCCCTTGAGCTGGGATCCAAGAGCTCCGTCCTATCTGTGGCTTCTGGCGCCTCCCTGTGTGCTCGGCAAGCCAGCGGTGCACTTGATTCCCTCCTTGTGGACTCACAGTTCATAAGCAGAATTCAGTAAATGAATAACTTCTCCCTCTCTCCAAACTTCTATTTAGATATAAGATTAGCAAAATGCTTCCCTTATTTCTATAGTAGATTTATAGAAGCTTCTTTGAGCAGATCTGCAGTTTAAAAGAATTAGATTTGTCCATTAACAGGTCATTTAGGTTCTGTAAATGAATAACTCGCTTTAAAGAACCAAGGAAGTTTTAAGTTAATTATCAGATGTGGGGCCTTTTCATAGGCAGCAGGAAAAAGGCTTAAGGAGAGGGGGAAGGAATAAAGTAGTGGAATGAGATGGTATAACGATAGAAGAAAAGTGCCACAGAAAAGCCAAGTGGCTAGTGTAAAGGAACAGAAATCTAACTACAGTACTGGTGTTGCTAGTGAAACACAGAACAATTGAACCAAGCATCCCTACTAGCACTAGGGATTTTTCCAAGCCAGCATGGTTCCCTCTTGCATGAACTCAAATTGCTAACCCACTTCCTTTGCCTTCCAAATATGGAATTCCTCTCCTTAAAGCTAGTGTATTGGGGATTCCTTACAAGTAGGCCCACATCTCTTGCTTAAGAAGAATGTTCTCCAAAGCCTCTAATGTATAAATTAATCAGTGGTGCCCAGTTATACTGTTACATCTGCAGGCTCTTCTTTCCCTTAAGGGTATAAAGTAGACTTGCTCTGTATTGATTTGGACTTTTATGTAAAGTGATAGAATGTTTCTGAGCACTTCCCAAGTAGAGCTTTCATTCAAACTGTATGAATGTATTACAGGCAGTGCAGAGGGGGGGGGGAGAATAAGGTACAGTGTGTAAACCTGGAGATAACAATGTGTCCTGGCACTGGCAGTCATGCTGCCATGTAGATAAATACTGGCTGAAGTACAGGCCATGCTCATTGTAGTGAAGATCCCTTTCTCTTACATTACCATGCAACATCTACTAATCCTATTTCTAGTCAAACTACTCAAATTTCCCTATTCTCTGGGTAAAGTTGATGCCCATCAACAGAAAGGGTCTTTTATTGATCTTAGCCACCCAGAATAAGTACAGTTCCCTGAATACAGGGGCTACTTGAGGGGCAATGTGGATACCCCTCCAGGTCTGTCCAGGACAAAAATGAATGCTTTTCCCTGGGGGAAAAGGTCCTTATTACTACATGACGAGAGAGCTAAGATCTGGTTTTTCATAGCTTCTTGTCATTAAGAAACCTGCTGCGTTTATTTGGGCCCCTTGAGCCAGGTATTCTTGAAACAGGAAAGAACTATGCTGCTAGATTCCTCAGTGACATCAGTGCTTTTAGGTTGGGGCTTTTTGTCATTGATCATTGAAAAAAGTCTGTCTGACAGAATCAACAAAACCTAGGTTTGTGAGAAGACACTCAAGAGTGTCTTGAAAAGTAAGTAGAGCAAGACACATATTACGACACATTATGTGACAAATGGGATCTTCACAGACAACCAGAGGTGTCCACTAACAACCAGTAGCACTAGGAAAGAAATGTATCATTTAGCATACTTGAAAGTAGATTTCCAAATTAATTCTTCCTAACCAGCTGCCTGTTCACTTCCTCAATATTTCCATTTAATTTCCAAGGCTTGTTTAACAGTGCGTGACATCAAACTGACTTCAATAGACCTAGCCATGATATCCATCAACCTATGCATAATTTTCATAACTTTCTTTGGGTAATTAGTTTTATCCAGTATTGGCCTGTCTTTGTATAACTCTGAACCATTACCCCTTTGGGGGAATTTGAAATAAAACATCTCCTACCATAAAATAAGACCAAGATGTTTCCTTTACCAAAAATATGCAAGTACGAAGATAACTTTAAATGAATGAGTTACATATATGCACTGAGAATTTTCTGCCCATACCTATTCTTATCTGAAACTATCAAAACTCCTGGAACACTATTTCTGTGGTCAGCCTCCTGGCTCTGAGAGAATCTGCTGTGGACACAGCCACACCCAGAACTGATTGTGGAAGAATGCAGAAAATCAACAGAAGAAAGCAGAAACCATGTAAAATCTCATGGGACCTGAGACAACAGCAAACCATCCCTGCACCTGATGTTATGATTCCACAGCTGGGCATGTGCAAGTCTTCTGTCTCTGTGTGTAAAGGGGAAAGACAGAGTCCTAGTGGGTTTGCATTTACAGTCTACTGTGAATGCCTAGTATGCTGTAGGCAGAGGTTATCTTGAGGTGAAAACTATTGCCTGAACTTGTGGTGCTACAGATTGGAAACCTGTACCCATTCTCAATTCTGAGCTGCAACAAACATTCTACTAGAGGGGCTCAGTGGGTGGCTAGCTCATAAATTAGACTTGGTTCAGTCAAGCGACTCTGCACAAACTCCACGAGTACTGCAAGGTTGGGAATAGATGTGACACTGAGGGGGATGGAGGATGCCGCCCTTGAGAACTTGGGGGATGAGGGAATAGGAGACCTTTTCCTCTGAGACCAAGGCCTATGTGATTTCACTCAAGAGTCAGGACTAGAGGCTGTCACCTGCAGGATCTTTCCATACCTGCCCCCAGCAGGATGCACGGCCTGTCTGTCACCCCACAAGATAAGAAAAAAACCTCTCTGGGGTTCTGCTGCCCCAAGCCCCAGTGGTGGGCCGGGAAGTCTGAGTAATTCCATGTCTCTGACTGTTGCTTTGCCGCTGGGGTGCATAGTTCTTGAAGGTATAGAGGCCTGGAGAAAAACTGCCCAGCACTGGCACACACTGCCCTCGTCCCACCCCGAAATACTCCAAGGGAGAGGAATATTGCCTGGATACAGCTGTGGTTAACTCCTATGCCCTTGGCAAGTACTACAGCTGAATGTGGCTATTGCCCCATTGCTAAGCTCACACAGGTGGAGAGGAGGGTTTGCGAGGAGGTCCCAAGCCCAGGTAGCATGAGCAGTAGCAGCAAGAAGTACACAATTGCTGCTGTCACCACACCTACATGCGTCTCCATCACAGGTCCCTCCTGTACTGTGTCTGATCACACTCTCCTGCTGAGACTGGGTGTCATGCCACAGAGGAATCACTAGGTGACTCCTGCCCTCACCTCTCTCTGAGAAGCATGTGGGCCTCCATCATCCTCTAGCTAGAGAACAAATGATTTGGTTTCCTCATTACTGTTAGTGAGTGTCAGAGACCCTTAAAAGGAACAGAGCCAGTGTCAGCAGTGTCTGAGGGAAGCCCTCATATGCCTGATGAAGGCCACCACTCACACTGTAGGACAAGCCACACAGGAAGCACCCGATGCATACACATTTGGTAGAGTGGGTATCTCTATTCGTTTTATTAATTGGCTTTCTTAGGATGTGGTTTTCTTCCAAAGATGTGTGTTGGGTTTTTCTTTGGGAGGGGGTGTTTTACTACGCAGTTCAGGCTGACCTTGAACTCATTAGGTAGCCCAGGCTGGCCTCAAACTCACAGCAATCTTCCTGCCTCAGCCTCTTGAGTGCTGGGATTACAGGCATGCACCACCACACCTGGTTTGATTTTTTTAAAAAATGCAGTGTTGTTTATTTCCAGCCAGGTATGATAATGTAATTTCCCTGAAGCTTTTCTTTCCTTGGTTGTGATTAGTGAACCTGAGCACAGTATGTACTGTTTCAGAGTTGGAGCCATCTGTTGCCTTTGCAGTTCTCACAAGAGTAGAAACATTCTAGTAGTTCAGAAAAGTGTGGTGTGGCCACCAGAATGTAATGAGAAAAATGAGGAAACAAGGTACCATGACACTTCCTAAAGGTCATAACTTTCTACTGACACATTCCAAAGTTATTGAAGTAGAGGAAATGCTTAATAAATGATTCAAAAAGATAATTTTTTAAAAGCCCAATGAAATCCAAGGGAAAAAGATAAACAATCAAGTGAAATTAGGAAGAAAATGCAAGATACAAATGAAAAATTGAAAAAAGAAAATTTGAACAAGAATAATCAGAAATTTTGAAAAATGAAGAATGCAATAAATCAAATTTTAAAATTCATTTGGAAGCCTTAAAAACAGATTAGAGTAAGTGGAAAAAAGAATGTCAAAGCATGAAAGCAGGTATTTTGAAATATAACCTTCAGAAAGAATAAAATAAAAACTAAGAAAAAATGAAGAGAAAAATTCAAGATCTTTGGGGTACCACTAAACAATCAAAATCTGTATAATCAAGAAACTGAAAGGCTTTCTACACTGTGTCTTTGTCCAAGAGGAATGAAGACATATGTCCATGCTATAACAGCTGTGTTTGTAACACCCAAAACTAGAAAAGACGAAAGTATCTGTGAAAAGAAGGCAGATAAATTAGGGAATATCTACACAATGATACACTATTCAATAATACAAAGAGTGCAAAGGACTGAAACATTTATATTCGACAACATAGGTGAATCTCAGAGATACACATTATGAAAGCAGCCAGAAAAATAGTCCTACTGTATAATCCTAGCTAAATAAATTCATTAAAAATGCAAAGTACTCTAGGTAGAAGGAGAAGATCATTTGTTCCCTGGATATGGTGAAGAGGGGAATAAAATGTGAGAAGAGGAGTCACAAAGTGTCATGAAGGTCATACAGGTAACCTTCATTGGGCTTATTTCACAAGGGTAAACGCCAGGCAAAGCCTACTAAATATGTGTAATAAGGTCAGTTATACCTCAACAAAGCTGTTAAAAATTATGTTCAGCATCACTTATACATCGACAAGGTTATTAAAAATTATGCTCAATATTGGGAAGACTGGAGAAAAGGTGTATTTTTATACTGTTGATGTAAGCATAAATCACCACATTGTCTTTGCAGGTCAGTTTGGCTTAATCATTATGTACAGCAAAGTGTACTAAACCTTAAAATTAAAAATGATCTGGGCATTCAACTTGTAGGACTTGGTTATAATGATACTCGTTATAGTAAATGAATGTGTGAGAACAGTAACAAAGGAAAAAGAAAACACAGAACCTCTAATACTGTTCCCCAAGACTTGAAATCCAGAACTGGGTTTAATTCTCAGTATCCTCCCCCCCCCACACACACACAAAAACAAGATTTTTGTTCATGTAACAAGTTTTGCATCTTTCTTCCATTTATGTTTTGACTGCTATTGATATGAAAGGCAGTTACTTATATTTAAATGC